TGAGTTCTCTGCTTTGTTCTGGAAGGAAAAAGCACACCGAGTCAGACAGTGACAGAGAGCTGATGGGTAAAGAAGCTGCTATTTTGAAAAACATATTATTTTTTGTCCATATAATGAAAGTCAAGAACATTGGGCCTTATTGTCTTTGAATGTATGGACAAAAAAAAAAAAATCACAGACATTTAATGAAATATATTCTTTTGTGTTCTAAAGTAGAAAGTCATACAGGTTTGAAACGACATAAGGGTAAGCAAATAATAACAGAATTTAAATATTCAGGTGAACTATTCTAAGGAATGCAATGTATTCAATAAACTAAAGAAAAAAATTTTTTACTGGATCTTCATGAGATAAATATTTCGTATTTGAATATCAAAACAGCATTTAACTTATGTAGGTCATGGCTGTCGGTTTTATGGAATTGGATATTTCATCCACTAACACTTACATTCAGCAGAGGAAAAAAAACATAATCTGGATAAATTGACGACTAAACACCACAGTCATACAAGAACCAAAATATCCACACAGATGCAGACAGAAAGGAGAAGCCATTTAACCATATTTAGAGCCAAACTTCTAATTATTTGCATAGATTAATCCCAAAAAATAAACAGAATTTGATTTTTCAGGTTCTCTTTTGTTTTCCTTTTAACCGCACGCCCGGAATGAGGTCACCACACATAATTTTAGCTCAAGGGGAATTTTAAGGAATTCAGTACTACTGATGATGACATATTCTGAGCTCAACCAAATACTCCTGATTCACAAAATGGAAATCAGTGTCGTGGAGACTACATGAAAATGTCCAAGAATGACAGATGTCTGAGCTGCCTGCGTTCATTAATCAAGCATTCGCATGTTAACCAGAATAAAGGCAGCAATTTCATCATTTACCTAATAATGCATTCAGTGTCTTGCATAATAAAATGATTAAAAGATGTTCACACGAGGACCAATTATTCATGCTTATGTCTTACTACAAAAAATGAAAAATGGTTCTGTGGTGTGGTTAAGAATAATGTGAAAGCATATGTGCTGCAATTACCTCTGATGCAGTGAAACGGAAACAGAAAATATGATGTAGAAATCACATGATATGCACATAGGCATTAAAGAGACACTTAAAGGTTAAACCTGGGGGCTCTTCAAGCAGCGAGAGCATGAATGGTGGTCTGTCTTTTTAACCCATGTGTTTGTGTGAATGCATGAGTGGTGGTCTTTATAAGGGATACAGCTGCTCTCTCCTCAGTAAGATGACACCAGTACTTCAGCATTGAGGTAACCACACTGTTCTAGACCTTGTTTGGACAGCAAAATCTAGTCCAGCAATCTTCTACCTTCCAAGTCAGTCTAGAAAATTCATGCCGTCTCAAGGAAACAGGAACTTGGATGGGGTCTTGAAACAACTAAAAGAATGGAATTTCATAGCACTTTGTAATAACTGTCATTAATAATCATTATTACATTAAATGATGCTTACATCATCATTATTTAACATGCATTTGGAAAGCTGTCACAAAATGTCATAAAACTTTTATTTAGTGATGCACTGATATCGAAATTCTGGCAGATTATTATTTTCATGTCATGGCCGATAACCAATAAATGATCAATTAAATTTAAATAATAAATTAAAATGTATTTTAAATGTATTTTTTAATGCTATACATGAATTTAGGCATCACAATATTAGAATACTAAGTACAAAAAATGGCTTGGTACCTAACTTTATACATGTATATATATGAATTTATATGAATATACACATATATATATTAGTGCTGTCAAATGATTAATCGCAATTAATCGTTTCCAAAATAAGAGTTTTTGTTTACATAATATGTGTGTGTGTTGTGTATATTTATATAAATACACACACAAACAGCATATCTTTTGAAAATATTTACATGTATATACATTTATATATTTATATTCTTATATTTTATATTATATATAAATATATTTATTATATACACATAACATATTTTTCTTAAATATACACATGCATGTGTTTGTATTTATATATACATAATAAATATACACAGTATACACACATACAAAGAAAAACATTTATTTTGGATGCGATTAATCGTTTGACAGCACTAATACATACAGTGTATATATATATATATATATATATATATATATATATACACACACACACACACACACACACACAACTGACTTTTTAACCACAGAGTAATAAAACATTTTATATTTAAACATTTAGGCCCTATTAATAATTGAAAAAGGTGCCCACATCACATCTTTATCAAGTCTGAGATACCAGCGCACAATATGAAAACCAAAGCATGCCTGCTAGTGCTAACATTTCAAAAGCTCATTTTAAAAACATGCAACTCTGATTGCTTGTCAAAACCCCTAACGCCCTGCCAATCTCATCTCATCTCCAGCAGAAAAGGGTTGCCCTCATCTTCAGTGGTTTCTTTTCACACTGCTCATTACCTTAATTGATGTTTAACCCCTAGATCAGCTGATGACGGCTCAATTAAGAGCTTGCTGGAGGAGAGATTAACACAGGGAAGGAGGGCTGTGCTCTCTCGGAGGAGCTTCAGCCCTTCAGCATGCCCTGCTCCACCAACCGCACAGCCAGTAAGTACACTGAGGCCATTTTGAATTGGAAAGGGCAGGGAAGGCCCCCCCTCCTCCCCATAAAACTTAATTTAATCAGCAGCGCTATGACCTTAAAGTGGATTTGTTTCCAATCAGATGTTGGCCAATATCAGATGCCACTGATCAAGGACAAAATTGTAATCACTGTGTCTTCTGTCACCATTTACACTCCCTCATGTCATTCAAAACATGTATGACGAAGATATTTTGATGTCTCTCTCTGTGTTTTTTCCCCCCACAGTCAATGTTTTGGACCCCATTGACTATCATTATATGGACAAATCCAGTTGAAACATTCTTCAAAATATCCTTTTTTTTGTGTGTTAAAAAAAACGTCAGACGCTTTCAGGGAGACACTAAAGGCCAGAGACATTGTTCGAGTGGAAAAATGGATTAAAACATGTGACCAAAGGATATTTCAGAAATTTCACAATGAGTACAAATGCGACACATGCGAGGGCACATGTAATAAAATCCACACATCAAATACAAGACAGACAGATCTTTATCAGACATCTAATAAAAACAGTGGCAGCACAGTCATAAATTTGTTTATGTGGAAAACTAGATAAGAGACTCAGGATGAATAGTCATTATTTTGACTTCATGGTGATGAAAACATCACTATAGATGATCAGGATGAAGACATAACACTACTTTTGTTCTGTCATGTTTTGCATCATCCTGCCCTGCTTAAATGGGTTTCATGTTCCATCACAACAAAAACATTTTCTGAACTGCATCCGCTTAATCATTTCCATCCATCAAACTTCCCATTAGCAAGCAGTGCTTTTTCACGAAACGAACGTGATTGTTCACAGGATGCTTGTTATTTTCTGAAAACTTTTTTGAAGCATTTCAAAACAGCAGTGGTAAGTTTGTAATGCGTAAAATAATCTTTTCTCTCTGACTGTTGTTGCTTCCCCAGGTGGGAGGACATTACAGCATTGAGACTCTGGAGGTAGAGCTGACACCCTGCTGGGAATCACGACAGCACAGTACCTGTCTGCATGACCTAGACATTCTGCTCATTATGAGATTCAGCCTATAATGAGAGCTGGAATTCTGAAGCCACCAATCAAAAGCTTTGTACACACGCACACACACATTACACTACGGCAAAGCATCAGGACAGACGCACTTCACACTTACAACTCAGCCTGTGGAAACTTCAAACTAACGTATTTTTATGAGAGACTGAAGTCACACTTTTACAGCTTGTTAAAGTGACATTTCTTCTCTGAATGCCTCGACAGGGGTTTTCAAACTGGGCTCCGGGGACCTCCAGGAGGCCGACAGAAAAAAGTTATTTTGAATGTACCAAAATTGACAATATATGACTTTATATCATGAGATTAATAATGACTATTTCATTAAGGACTCCTATTAATGACACAATTTCAATTTTAAGAAAAACACCATAATACGAAGGAAATATTTTTATAATAATATCCTACAGAATCATTTCTTTTGGCTTACTACAATGCTATTACAGTAATAAAAAGCAATTATTTTGTTTGACAAATTATTTAATTTAACATTGACTTGTATTTATAATATCACAATTACTCTTCTTTAATATTTGTATTTATTTCTTAGGAAGAGAGTTTCTTTGCATTGGGAGACATCATATTTAGGTGACCTTGGCATCAAAAGTTTTACTTTAGAGCCAGCAAACGTTCACAAAGAAAGTTTTTAAGAGTACTAATACACCAAAAACACATGTTGTTATTGCATAACAGAAAGAGAGAGGGTGGTGTCGCAGAACTGCGTAGGTTAAACCAAACTTGATACGTAAGTGGCTTGAGTGCTAAAAAATTCAGTCTACTCCACACAAACACCCCTCAAAATACCTAGAATCAGTTGTTAGCATATAATATGTTATACCTCATAACACATACTATCCTCTAGCGCACTACACAGTGAGCCGAAATGTGTGCGACTGCATCAAAATCATGTTGACATTTCAGACAGCGACTAAATCTGACAGCTCGTCAGAAGCACCACAACAATGAACACCGTTCATATCGGCCCCGTAAGTCACGATTTATAATACACTAACTTTAAGGTAAATAATTATTTAAAAAGTACTGTAACTGTGATGAGTTATATCTTATGCCCTTGTCACCAATTGGTCATTAAAAGCTTAGTCTGAACCTCCGTATCTCACTAGCTTCGATTTCAGTCGCGACTCTTCCCCCTTTGATGCAATAAAAAGACGCATATACAACAAATAACCAGAGTATGTTTGCGCACTAACGCGAAAGAGCCTTAATTTAGATTATTATTTTTTTTAATTCAGAGATGTGACGGCAATAATTCGGCACTGTTAGAGCTTCAGCTAGACTGGACGAACGACTTACCCGGAGCAGCTACAAGATCCACATCTGTGCGATAAACACCAGGTTTCTTACGGCCCGATACGTGAAAGAAGTGTAATATAGATCAAACCAGGCAAGGATATAAAAAAACACCGAGCAGATGTCAATAATAATATGTGGAATCCTTAACTCCTGTTCAGGGTTATTATTTAGCCCGTACAGTCAAAAACCTCCATGTACAAAGTGTCCTATCTACCATGACTGGCAATGCATTATGATTGACAGATAATGTGGCCAATCAGAAATGAGCTTTGCGTGATTCGTCCAATCGGGTTAAAGTATGGTCGCTTCTGCGTGGAAGCAGAATTGTGGGCGGGGCAAATGTGCAGTAGGAAGAGATCACGCTGAAGCGGTTTATGTATTCATCCGCCTCCCCATCTTAATGAAAAGATCCTGTAAAATTCCTCTCCGTGTTTACATTTGAGAACTGGAATGTAATAATTACACGTATTTGTATTATATATTTGAAATACTTTTAATATATAAATGTCTTGAAAATAACCTTCAAGCATGGTGTTGTATTGTACTGGTGCGCTATATTAAACACGTTTTATTATTAATCATATCAGATGTGCACGGTTCAGAAGCTTACGTCAACAAATACATTTTTTCAAAGCACATAATACGTCAATCAGTCACAAGTTGAATTGCATTCATGCATTTTATTCGCAACTCTTTTAACCACGAGGAAACATTAAGTATAAAGAACAGACTATTTTTTAACAAAATATTAAATACAGTATTTGACCAGACTGATTTAGTGGTTCCAGGAAAGAGACATTTCGCTCAATCCAATAAAAGCATGGAAAGCCCTATTTTTCGTGGAGGAATATAGTGTTTACAGAGGGAATGGTGGTGATGCAGACAGAGAAAAATGAAAATGTTAGAGTGCAGTAAGTAAGTTTGAAGGCAGCTGAAACGGATACAGTTTCACTGATCAATCTGGAAATCAGCGCCACGGGTTTTGAAATAACACGAGAACAAAAAACAAGGCCGAAATCTTATTTAAAGGATTGAATAATGAGAATGCACTTGCGATATATACTCGGATCAGAGCTGCGTGCGTCACTGCGATGGAGGAACACTTAAAGTCACAGGACTCGAAACCAAAACTCCTTAAGTCTGCGTTTTATTTGAGATGCAATCCATGCAAACAAAATACTCTTGAGGAGACTATCACATAAATTGTCATTATTTAAGTTTACATTCATTTTAGTTTAGGTTTTGGATTTAGTCAAAAGCAGCTATTTCATATTTAATAAGTCTCTCGGATGAGTTGCAAACGTCTCCAATAAATGAAAAACAGCGTGTTGCTCTTAACTAAATTATGAAGAAAAACCTATGCATTTACTTAAAAGAAGCATATAGGCCTACCTGTGGAGGAGAGAGATTACTCTGTTTTATTCCTTATGTAAGGAGCTCATGCACTGGGGTTTTGTGGAAGAGCATTTATACAAACAGATGGACACCCTGTTGCCCTCTCTCAGATCACTCGCTTCCTACACTCAGCCTGCGCACTCAACAGAATGCCATTCAGCCACGAAACCTTCACTGCAGGCAAAAACAATCATGAAAGTGGGGCTGCAATGACAGAGATGACTCAGACAAGCCCTCTGATCTGGGAGCATTATTGACCGACCACGGTGGGCAAAAAAAAGTCAGATTACATCTTTGGTGTGCATAACAAAATATTATGCTGTGCATTGTGATTCAGGACCAGTATTGACCATATAAAAGGTGTTAAACTTTAAATGAGTTTAATCTCTTTTGCACGATTGCTTAATAGTCGTCACTGGGCTGCGGTACCTGCGTGCTCGAACACGTGTTTCAAACCAGCTGCTTTCAGAGCTGAGAAGAGCTGGAAATGACACTTTACCCCCCCCCCCCCCCCTCTCACTCTTTCTTTGACACACAGATGCACGTGCAGATGCACACTTGCTTCTTTCTCTCTATGCATCGCTCTCTATCTGCCTCATTCTCTCTTTTTCTCTTTTCCTTTATTTCTGAATGTATTAATCCAGATGAAAGGTGTGTGGGTGAAAATTTTCCTCTGCAGTGACCCGCTGATCTGCTGCACTTGGCTTCCGTAGCATCCTGTCTGCTGCCTAGCAACTCTCTGTATCTATGGCAACAAAGCCAACAAACCCTCCTGCCTCTATCAAACGTACCCCACAACGAGCTGCTGGATGTATGGCAATCAGGAACAGGCAAGAATTCAGTAAGTGGAAAAGCTTAGAAAAAGGGACTCAGATTATTATTAAAAACGAATCGTTTTGAAGTGACTAGATGTCTCGTTGCTCTTTTGTTAGTTTTTATTTTTTTTATTGTCCTCATTTGTAAGTCACTTTGGATAAAAGCGTCTGCTAAATGACTAAATAAAAAAATAAATAAATATGAATATCAAGACACTGTTGCTTTAGACCTCACAGAAAATGAGCATTGTCAGCACAGAGCGGGTTAAATACAACCCAATGCTGGGTAAAATATGGACAAACCCAGCGGTTGGGTTACCAGCCAGAAGGCTGGGTTAAACATTAACCCAACCGCTGAGTCAAAACAACCCAATTGCTGGGTTTGTGCATATTTTACCCAGCACTGGTTTGTATTTAACCCAGCATTTTTAGAGTGTAGGTTTTTATTTACAGTATAGTTGGTATTGTTTTTTGTTTGTGTGTTTTTTTTTTTTTTTAATCAAACGAAAAGTAAGTTTCGTGATATTCTGTGGCGTTGTAGAGAAGCTTGCACTGGATCCATAGTTTAACCTGCAAATTCGAATGGTTCGTTCGTGTGTGGTTTGAGGATGGGGACGCTGCGCCCTCTAGTGGCCACACTGGGGCAAGAGCAGTGAAAGAGCAAGGAATGGTTTTTCCAAACGCATAGTAAACTTAAGTAGGTCGTATAACAATCGTACGATTCAGCTTATTATGAGATGTTTTCCAATAATAATAATACAAATGTATAAAATAAATATTACTTGAAAATTGTCGAAGAACTGCAAGTGTTCTAGAAAGACGTCATCGCAAGAATAATGCAGTCACCTGCAGGGCAACCCAAAAAATTACACCCACTTTGTGATACTGCATGTGATAGTTACTGTATTTAGAATTATTTATATATGATAATATAATAATATTAAGTAAATCATTAAATAAAAATATGTTTTATTTATGAAGGGATAATATAATTGGCTTTGCAAACTGATAAAATATAAATGAAGGCTGAGTAAAGATGGTCTATATATTGCACTTTTTTTTTTTTTTTTTACAG